AATTGTGATGATTTTGGCTCACATTTAACAAAAACCCACCTGTATGTGTGTGTATGAATGAATGAATGAATGAATAACTGGATATATGAGTAAGCCTAATTTTAGAATTGTGAGTTCTAGATTTGTGAGTGCAAAAAAAAATACAAATATCATGTAAAATAATAAAATTGTATAATTATTTTTATACATTTTATGAATATAATTCTTCTAGTTATGCCAAGATCTAAAATATTTTATCAGGTATAAATTGAGTAATATATATATATAAACTATAGAAACCACAAACAGGAAAAAAAGTACAAATTCTGTGAAAAATGGGGACCTTGAAGTCAAAAAGGTTGAGAACCAATGCCCTAAGGCCACATAGTGTTTGCAATGTTAGCGGAAATTAAAATTGATATGCTGTGAGCTCAAATTAGTCGCCTCAAACATATTTCCCATATTTCCATAGTTCCCTATCGAACAGTCTCTCCCGTTGCGATGCTGACGCTTTTGGGGAAACTCGTTTACTGTGTTACTGAAGCCTGATTTCTTCACATTTGTGTAGCTGCCCAAATCAATGGTGCTCTAAACTGCCAAAAAGGGAGGAGCCGATCGCTATATAAGGTGGCTGAGAGCACCATTTCATAAGAGTTTTCTCCTTCAGCGACGGGATCATCTCTTCGCTGACTCTGCCGAAGTTGAAGTCGAAGAAGAAGAAGCTCAGCCTGCTGCTCACCGCCGTAGAAGAGCCCCGGCAGTGGAAGAAGTGGAAGCTGGCACTGAAAAGTAGCGATTTTCCTGACATGGACTCATCGATGGCAATCTCCTCCTTGGAAGCGCCGAAGGAAACTAAGCTTCTTGCAGCTGATGTGGGGCGTTGATCCTCCTGTGATGCACACTGACGAGGCGATGCAGGGAGAGTGGAGCATGCGGGGGCTGAGCCGGCATGACGACACTCGAGCCCGCTGTCAGAGCCAGTTTCTTTCTCTCAGGAGAGAATGGAATTGCGAGAGCAGAGTGGGGAGTACCGCCTTCATTAAAGACAGGCGAGACTCATATTCTCACAGTGAGAGCATGATGTCTTTAATGCAGAGCTCACACTGCACGATTTTCAAAAGTCGTCGGGTCACCGTGGTTTTCACACTGCACGACTATCTG